GAACACAGCTCGAGACGCGGTTCGAGGCGGCAATCGTCGCTGGCGACCTCCCCTGCGCGTCCAAGAGGACAAGGAACGCCGACACGCGCGCTGCCTCGCGGTACGGCTGCAAGTCTGCTCCAGTGCGCCATATTGCAGCAGTACTATGGACGACCCCAGCAGAATCACCATTACCGTGGGCGGCGACGGCGGACGCGGTATGCCGCGGGGTGGGGGGCCCTTGGGGGGGCTGACGAGGCGTAGGTTTTTGGGCGCAGTGCGCAAGTGTCGATGGGAGGAAGCTGGAAGGAAGGGCTATCTAGGACTTGTTGGCGCAATGCTGGGTGTGCATGTATATTTGCATCGTGCGACAGGTCCAAATGCGGTGTAAGAGTACTACCTAAGTCGTGGTGCTAGGACTAGGGCCGAGGTGGACCACTTTTGTCCTATGGTCAGTGTTGACCTGCATCCTCACTTTTGTTCCTCTACTCTACTTTCCTGCTGTGTCCGTACTCTAGCGTGGTACTAGGGGATTGCTGGAGTAAGAGTGGGAGCTTGCTGCTTATGTAAGACGGCAGAAAGAGTTGGGCGGTGGCGGCTGTGGTGGGGACCAGTCTAACAGTGTTGTTTACCTTGGCACACTCGGCCACCCCGCCACTCCACCACTTTGCGTGTATAAGGAGTACATGCTCCCCTATACTCTACTGCTACCGCCCATTGACCCCCGCTCACACCATTCACCCCATTCACCCCGCTCACACCATTCACCCCATTCACCCCATTCACCCCATTCACCCCATTCACCCCATTCACACCCACACCATGGCTTCGACAACACCCACACAGACCCCCTCGTACCGCCGGACACGCAGCAAATCCCCGCGCAGCCGGCCAACCACCCCCTTACGCGCCTCGTCTCGTAGCAGTCTGCGCGAAAGCTCACAGCGGGGGCGGGCGGCTTCCACCTCGGGCAACGCGCTCGAGGGCCTCCAGGACGGCTTTGCAGAGCTCAGCGACGCCATGGCTGATTTGGAGCAGAACTTTATGCAACTGCAGCTCATGCACGAGAGTCTGGCCCGCTTCTCCGAGAGCTTTGCCGGCTTCCTGTACGGCATGAACATGAACGCTTTCTGTGTCGACTTTCCCGAGGCACGATACCCCGCCCCGCCCTGCCCATGTCGAGACTGCTGATGACGGATGCTGATCCCATGCACAGGCGCCCATAGCCGAATCATTCAAACGCCCTCAAAACCATGCACATCTAGCAAGTACCCACTTCAGCCGCTCTCAGGGTCCAGATGACATGGAAGCCACATTTCTGACCACTGACACGTCCTTTGTCGACAATCCGCCGAGCAGCAAACTGGCCTCCAAATTTCAGAACCCAGCAACCCCAGCATCAACGTCAGCATCAACGTCAGCATCAACGTCAGCGCCAACGTCAAAGTCTGCTGGTGCATCAAGAGGTAGAGGCGGGATTCCAACGCGGGCAGGAAGAGGGGGCGGTATTCCCGTGCGAGGGCCGTCCTCCAGGGTCACACGAGGCGGGAGTGGCATTCCAGCCAGAGGCGGGGTTGGGAGAGGTCGATATGCCAAGGCATAGCGCCATGTTCAAATATTCGCATAACATGGATACCCGAGAGAATCCGCAGACTCCCGCTGCCAGTCGTGGATTTTCCTAAGCCGGTTTACATTCATTCTCGGCCATGTGTCCTCATATCGTACCCACACTACATTATTGCGCACTGCGCTCAATCCCCAAGCTTCCTTCCATCACCAACATTACCAAGCCAACTAATTCGATTCTCATCTGTGACCATCAAGATCCAAGAAGAACGAGGATAACTGCATAGTCCCCGCCAGGCCGGAAGAGAAGGGTATAATGCGATAGAGTCAAATACAAAAGACAGAGTCGAACTAGGCAGCCAGAGGGCATCTTATTGAGGCCGCTGCACCGCCTGTCCGGAGTGCGACCATCTCGGGGCCAGATTACGCAAGTACACCAGCCTGACTCTTCGTATACCAGCTGCCGTTCTCCTTACGTACCGCCCAGCCTTTGATGGCGACAACGACGGTGGTCCATGCCATCAGGAGCGCCGTAACACCCATGGTAACGGTAAAAATGAACATGGCGTCCAGCTGGTATTCCTCGAGAGCTGCAACAGTATCCTTGTTGCTCATCATGAAAACCAGACCTCCGGAAATGAGGCAGAAGGAAGTGATGATCTCCGTTGGTGGACGGGAGGGCAGGAAGGACGTCGGCGGTGAAATGTACAAGATCATATAGGTAAGGCCACGGGCAAGAGCGAAGCCCATGAACATGCTTCCCCATTGGCCGTGGATCATGCTCGAAAGCATAGAGCTCTGGTGGTGCGAACTCATCATTTTGCCAAGCAGCATGATGATCAGAGCGGGCATGGGATTCATCGAGAATCGATATTGGCGGGGTTGTTGCCATTGATCGTCAGTGGGATGGACGGAGGTGGAGGAGGTGACGGTGTAGTTGAGCAGATCCCTCATCTTCCTCGACTCTACAATCATTCCCAGCTAAAGCACATTAGTATCAGTGACGCTGTATCGAAAAGAGCCTAGAGGACTTACCAAGCCACCACCAAAGAACATGACAGAAATGGAAACATGCTCCAGATCTTGTGCTGTCCATGCACCGCCCCAAGCGGCCAGATGTTCGAGGAATACATTAGTGACGCCATAGAGCCAAATGACAAACGACTCTGTAAATTCGGCAGAAGGAACAGTCCACCGTCGACCGCCGGCAGACTCTCTCGTCGGCTTGATGTTCCACGCCCAGCCAAAGTCGGCAAACGCGCCCATCCACCGACCCAGTGTCAAGAGCCCGTAGAGGAAGAAGATGCCGCCTTTGACGTAGTGCGCCAGGATGTTGAAGACGTGATTTCCTCTTGCGATGCCACCATATGCGACCGTGCCGCTGCTAATGGCAAAGAAGCCCTGTAGCAGGATCGTGCGTTCGATAACGACGGCGAGGATTTGAATGATCCTCTGTGTTCGCCTACCAATAAAACGAGCCACATTCTGGGACATGAACCTATCCACAACGGAACCGGCTAGGAAACCTCGCTTTTCAGACTCGTCACCCAGGTTGTCAAAGTCGCCCTCCTGACTATAAGCGCGCACGGGCGACGCAAACTGGAGATCTTCCGATTCAACGCTAGAAGATCTCGAGTGTCCCTGCAAAGATTCGGAATTCCGCTCCGTGCCCTGTCCAGAGTCTTCTGACCACCGCGATGGCGCAGGAGGCTGCTCTTCTGGTACGCGCTGGTATCTCGCCATGTTTGTTGCATTCATTGTTGGTGTTCCTGCCGCCAAAGTCTCACTCTCGGAGCGATTGATGTGTAGTTGCACCAAACACATGAGGACCCACGCTGATGCGATCCAAGTGATTATCCAGCCAATCTTGCTGTGCGCATTATTTGAATACAAGTCCGGTGTCTGGTGATTGTAGATGACACCCAGTACCAGTGCGAGCGCGTTGATGGCAAGAAACGCCAATTGTGATGGCAAGACGAGTCGCGAGCGTGCAATGCTCAGCATAACAGCTTGCTCTGGTCAGCGACCGAGTCTGTTGACAAGAGAGGCAGGTAAGGATTGGACATACCAACAGGCAAAACCACGACCCATGCCAAGATCTCGAGCGCAATATGCCAGTACATCAACATGGCATGCTCGGACAGACTCCAGTAACTCGGTGGCTTGTCATTGTGTTGCGCGGGAGGAGGCGGTGCAGCCATATCCATGGTGTCGCCATGATGAGAATCGCCATGCGCGATAGCAGAGGTAAGGGATGCTAGCAGCAAGACCGTAGTCGCATACAGACGGAGGCCACGGTTCGGCATATGTGCTACGCTCTTCTCCTCTTCCTCTGGCTACAAGTCCAGGCAGAATGGAAGGGTCAGAATGGAAGGGTCAGATGGACGTCGTCTTGCTCGCAATGCAATGAGAAGCTAGTGCACAGGCCTACACGCAGTCCAAAGGTGGAATCGAGGCAACGGCAAGTCAGTGGAATGGACAAACATTTTCAGTTTCTAGTGACTACTGTTGTACTATATGTCAGATACAATAGCTACCGTACCTAGTCCATGTGATGTGCGTTCGGAAAGCTCGGGAGATTCGCGATCGCGGAGTTGGCCAGGCCAAGGGTATGGTATTGAGCATTTTGTCAGCGCGAACCAGCGATGATGCGATTTCCGATCGCGCGCAGGTTGGTTGCACCATTGCGATTGCTTTGTTGTGACGGTGTGGGACATGGGTAGGGCGGAAATATGGGAGATTGTCTGTTGCCCACCGGTATCCTAGGTACTTTTCTGCTCGCTTGGCGTACAGCAGGCACAGTATACTACCAAGTGCCCATGCGATGCTCACCTCATCCATCCATGCTCACAATCTCTGGACGTCTTTGGAATGCGCAGACACTGGACGACCCAAGCACACGGAAATAGATGGAGGTGTACTGGACTGCGACGAAGGCCGTAGACAAGTTCAAGCACAGTACAATAGTGCAAAGCAACACCCGCCACGTCTCGGACCCGTACTGGCAACCCCGAAGACTGTTGTTGCGTCTGCCTTGATGATGATGATGATGATGATGATGATGCTGATGATGATGACGCTGCAGGCATTCACTAGATCCCATGGTCGCAGTCGAATCATCTCGACCTCGCCTGGGCGTCATCCAGACAGTCTAGAGTATGAACATGCAAGGCCGCCTTGTCCGCACACTCCCTCTACACATGATTGGCCCGGCTGGGGCTGGGTTGTTGTGTCACATGTCGTCTTGCGCCAGACTCCAGTGCGCTTGTCTAATCCAGTTAAGCTTTCTGTCAAGGCTTGGCGAACATGACACTAGTGACGGACAGGTTTTAGCGCCGTCTGCACGCTCGTCAAACAGGACCAGAGGCAGTATACGATGCCTGATGGCTATCCGCAGCCTTCCGCTGGGTGACAGACAGACAGGCAGACAGACACTGTGTTGTGTACCCGTACTTTGATCAAAAGCAAGTTGGCAAAGAGTACCACGTACCGTGCCTAGCTAATGTACAGTACCTACTGTACCCACCGGTACCATGGTATACCTACAGTACGTAGCCTTCGCTGTACAAGCACCGATTATACCGAACAGCAGGCTGCCAGATGTGACAACATGCACTCGGCTGACACATCATTTCTCTTCTCGTCACTACCTACATCGCGATCGTCTGAGCGGGCTTTGGCTGCATGCCAAGCACGGGATCGGGTACTATTGCTACAACACTTGTACTACAATGTGGACAAGGCACTTGTCATTGGTGAAGTAGTAGGAGCGTGTCTCGCTGCCCACTGTGTACTCTACCTTACATGTACCTATAGTATACATTTCGACAGTAGACTGAGCAAGGCTCGGGGAGTCTGATGATCAATCCAACAGGTCAATGCACGGTACCGTATTGTCTGCGCAGTATGTAGTTCTCATGTACTGCACCTACCGGTACCATAGTACATCGCCTTTATCATGCATCTGTGCCCACCTCTTGGCCGAGCACTGAATTGGGTAGACAGACCCAAGATCAAGCTGACATCCAACGAACCCGGGTCATGTCATGTCCCCGGCTATTCGGCGATGCCGCAAGTGACAGCTGTGCAATCCATGCTTTCAGGTAATAATGCCCGGCATGCTTTGCAACACGGATTTTCTTACGAGATGTACCGGTATGCAGCTTTTGCAGATGAAGTTGGCATGGCAATGGCCATGGAGAAACTTTGCGACCTCGTTCAATTTCCATTTACGCCATCGGACCTCGGGATCTTGTTCCAGCCAATCCAATCTCTTCCTCTGATTGCCATGAATGAAAGACGGCCGCAATGTTCTGTCCTTTCAACCAATGTACCATACTTTCTAAAAACAATCGCACATGACCGTCAGACCCAAACGCTCGCTTCCCTCCGTTCCTTGCTCAGCCCCACATTCCTCTTCCTTTCCGCCAAACACCCCCCCTCCCCCCCGGCTTTCCTATACCTATTGTACTGCACGCTACAGGGTAGCAATCTCTCTACTGCTCCCGCCCATCCTCCTCCAATGCCGCCCTAACCTGTTTCATGATTCGTCCAAACTCTCCAAAGCTACTCAAATTCATGCTCCTCGTACAAGTCTCCAGATTGATCAGCACAGAGTGCAAGTTATCGTGTTTCCGCTTAATCTTGACATACATCCTGCGCACACCTTCGGTCTTTTGTTCGTCAACAGAGGCTGTCGAGCGAAAAGGTGAGGCCGATGGGGCGATAGAGGAGCCAAGGGGATTAGAAAAAGTGGGCGTGGCAGGCGGAGTGGCAGGCCTGGTGCGCTGTCGGATCTTGGATGCGAATGAGGAGGGGAGGTTGCCTTGGGAGCTTTGGGGCGACTGTACAGCTTCGGTGCTAAAGAGTCTCTCACTAAGGCTGTGGACAACTTCGGCGTGTTCTTTCTCGACGACGTTGGATTTTCGTTCAAGTGCTTGGAACCTGCTCTGAGTGTCCTTCAGCTCGGCAATAGCGAGGTCATGGTCAACGACAAGACGCTTATGCTCCTCGGATTGAGCCTGGAACTGGTCCCTTTCTCTCGTGACTTCCCTCAGGCCAGTTTGCAGTGTTTCGACTGTCGACTGTAGGCTTCCGAGGCTAGTCGCTTGATCATCAATGCGCTTCTCCGAAACCTTGATTTGTTCGTCCTTCGTATGCAACAGTGTACGCGTGGCTTCTGTCTCAGCTCTCGCAGCTTCGGCGGTAGCGTTGGCTGCCACAATTTCCCTCTTCGCAGCTGCGATTTCTTCTCGCAGCCGCTGCAATTCTTGTGTATGACCACATGCCTTCGAAGATGATTGTCCCAATCGAGCCACAAGAGTACGTCGAGGCTTGGGCTTGGGCTCTTCATCCTCCCCATCAGAAATTTCAATGATCGTGGGTTCCTCTGAATTGTCCGCCCTGGCCAGCGTCTCGTTACTCTCACCCAGTAATGGCTCTTGCGTGTCGAGCTTGCGACTGCTGTTTTGCCCAGTCTTCCGCCTCTTCGCGGCGTTGATCCTGGAACTCGTCCGCGTAGCACTTTCCCTAGCTCTGGGGCTCGGGGTTTTCTGCTTTAGCGCTGCTGATTGTCTACTTCGTCGACCTCGCTTCTTTGTTGTTTTGCCTACCGGGGCCATTGATAGCAGCTCGTTCAGGAGTAAGTCCACGTCCAAGTCTTCTGGTGGGATATACGGCTTAGCGTCCGTCTCTACTGAAGGTAGGGGCGAGTTGCCGTTTCGCGTGCTCCTGTCCTGTAGGCTACACAAGGCTAATTCAGTATCAAGTGGAGTAGCTGAGCGGTCACCGTAGACTTGTTTACGGTTCAGAAGTAGATTGGTGAACAGGGTTGGCCCGGCGTCATGGTCATCAGACGAAGGCTGCTGCAAAGGCTGCTGCGTCAGTGACGCGTCGTGCTTTATGGGTGGCAAGAGTGAGATCGAGGAGGTAGGAGCGTTCTCGGATGACATGCGATGGGATGAGGGCTGATTACAATCAAGGGGCTGGTGGTGATGCGGCATATTCATCTAATACAACAATCTCTTTCATCCGAAATTCTACGGCAAGAAGATAGGTGAAGGGGGGAAGTGTGGGGAATAAAAGCATGTAGCTCTGTATACATGCTCCTTCAAGGTATAAAGGAGCGTCTGTGACGAGTTCTAGATATGTGTCTGACTTTGGTCTAAACTATGACCTAGGTTACGCTACGCCAGTGCAAAAAAAACACGAGTGGATACCAAGTGTGAGCTCTGCAAGACCTACTGTCTGGAAGATCCTGGGTAATAATGGGCCCTAGGTGAAGGTAAAGTCATACAGCGAGGTGTCGAAATGGAAAATCTGCTGATGTCACAGCAATTAGACGCATTTTGTCTACGATAATATATCTCTAAATAACAACCACACCCGAGACACATTGTCTCTCAAGCGCCGAATAGTGGGAACCATTCTCGTGAACCATGATGTCGTAAGGGAAAAAGTCGACAGTAAATTAAGCGTATGCAGATAGGTGCCGACAAAGTGGCTAAAGAGATAGGGAGAAAGAAAGTGAACCCACATGGCACGGCAAAACGTACTAATACATGTCCTCATGTCGCCCCATGCCACTCGCTGTCCTTCTGTTATCAGCTACACTCACCCGACCGCTTCGTGCGCCTCGACTGCCACTTGCAGAGACACTCCTGCTAATGGTTTCACCCTGAGGACCGTCTTCTTCTCGTCGGTCTCTTTCTTTCTCGAGCGCAGATCGGAGTTCGGCGTTCTCTTCCACCTTCTGCTCAAGCCTTTTCCTTGCACCACTTCGATCCAAAAGTCGCGCTTCTCGCTCGGCTTTTAGTCTACGTTCCAACTCTTTCAGTCGATGTATCCATTTCTGTTCACTCGGCTGAAGCGGCACAGATGCTGGATATGGGTGGCCTGTCGGGGTCTGTTGAAGATGTTCTACAACAGAAGCAGATTGCGCACGTAGTAGTGTCTGTGCCATGCTAGCGCGCTTGGATGAGGTGGGTGATCCTGCGCGGGACGGTGAACGGCTAACGATGACCTCGTTACCAGATTGTGTCGTAGAAGTGATGGCGCGTAGGGTCTGAACTTCTGTTCGCAGGTTCTTATTCTCGGACCGAAGCTTCGTCACTTCGGTGGAGTTGACATCGACAAGACCACCACGCACCGTACTCGGTCTCCCGATTGACTGCCGTTGTGCTGAAACGAGCTTTTCAAGTTGATCGAGTCGCTTCACACGAACATCAAGCGAATGCTCTAATGTTTGATAGTCTCGAACCAGATCCTTCTCCATGGCTCGTATCCGCTGTTTAAACCCGCCAATAACACCTTCCACTGTCTTGACAGCAAGAATAATGTTGCGGTTGAAACCTTGAATGTTTTTCGAGATGAGCTCCATCGAAGTAAGCTCGCCGTTGACGAGGGCATTGTTGCGGCACCACTCCGCGCCACAAAGAGTGGAAAGACGGTTCCAAAGCGCATAAAGCAGATTGTTACGCTCGAGCAGTTGCTCCTTGTACTGCTTCTCTAAGCTATGGAGCCGTTGGCGATCCTGGCTACGCAGAGTCTCTAATTCTAGTACCCTTGTTTCATGCTGCTGTATCGTCCTAGTGACAGATTGATGACCACGTTTAGCGGATTCGAATGCGGTCTGATCTTGTCGTCGAGCCTGACGCTCGCGCTCAAGGAGGTCGGCTAAACGACGGCTTTCCATACCAGTGCTCTCAAGTAGGGCGTCGCGATTACGCAAAAGACGATCCTTCTCCGCAAGATCTGTCTTGGTCGCACTGAGCTCATGTCCAGTTGCCTCAAGATCGCGTTGAAGTTTGGCGATATCCTAAAATGTTTTTTTAGCATGTGGAATTGAGGCAAGCCTACTTCACATACCTTGAATAGACTTGATCTTGTACCGTCGGGATTGCCAAGGGCATCACGAAGATGCTTCTCAAGCTCATCATATCGTTGCTTCCATGTGGTAGCCTCAACCTCCTTGCTAGAGAGCGTCTTGCGGAGTTTCCTTGCATCTTCTTTGAGCTTGGATAATTGCGTGTTGAGATCATTCATGATTTTCTCCACCTCCTGCTTCTCTTGGGTGACGAGGGCATCGCGCTGCTGCCTTTCTTCACTAATACGCTGTTCCAGGTCTCGCAATCGCTCCTTCTCGTCTTCTAGTTGGATCTGTGCGTTGTTGAAGGCCGCCTCGAGCTCCCCAATCTTGATCTTATCTCCTTCCTGCTCTTCTCGCAGGAAGTCAATCTCGCCTTGACACGATTCCAGTTGGATATCAAGCCTCTCATTCTTTGATCTTTCATCGTTGAGAAGCTTGTCCTGTCGGCTCAACTCCTGGTTAGCATCGCTGAGCTCAGACTCTAGATTCTGGATCCTGCGCAGACTAGCATCTCGGTCGTCTTCAAGCTGCACTAGACTCTCACTGACACTCTTCATCTCATGTTGCAGGGCGTTGAAATCTTCTGTGGTATTTTCAAGATCGTTCAAGATTCGGTCGCGTTCGTTCTGCGTCTGCTCCAATTGTATCTCGAGCCTCTGTACCGTGTCCAAAGCTTCTTGTCTGAGTTCCTCGCATTCCTGCTCCTTGTCTTGTAAGAATTCCAATGCTTCGTTACGTTCCAACGAAAGCGCTTGAAGGTCTTCATTCTGCGCCTCGATCTCCTTCTCACATTCTTTAATTTTGTTTTCTGCAGTTTCCAGCATGTCGAGATGGCCGTTGAGCTGGTCATCGAGCTCTTTGTAGGACAGCTTCAGTTGCGAAAGCTCGTCTCGCAGAGCAGCATGCTTACTTTCCAGGTCGTCTCGTTCAGGGTCACTCATTTGAGTCATTCTTGTTCCACCACTGGCCCTCGATGCAGACCTCATATGGTTGCGGGAGATGGAGCGTTCCAATATGCTATCACCAGCGATGGACCCTGTATCTCCTCTTCGAATGGTGAGCTTTAGCCCTTCATTCTCCTCTCTCAGCCTCAGATTCTCTCTATTCCTAGATGTGAGCATGGAAGCTTGTGCGTGGAGATCTCGCTGAAGTTTCTCGTTATCGTTTTGCAGTTGATCTACCAGGGTGCTGCTCGTTCCACCGGCAGACAGGGGCGCATTCTGTTCATTGGCGTCTGAGCCAGTGTTTGATCGCGCTGCAAAGGACTGGTGAAGACGGCGTGTGCTATGCGACTTGTGAATATGGTGATTCACCATTGCGTTCTGTTGCATCTGCTGGTTCTGCTCTCGCAAGCGTTGGACTTCCTCACGAAGCTTTTCACAATCCGCCTCGGCTTGTTGACAGCGCGTCTCGACCTGCTCCCTTCGGGCACGCTCATCCTCAAGGTCCTCTTTCCACATGACGACAGCTTCATCAAGACCAGCAGACTCGCCATTTGGACTCTTTTCTCGCATGGTTTTGATGTAATCCGCCATTCGTCTGTTATCAGCCTCTTTCTGTAAGGCCTCCTGCTGCCACTGCTCTACGATAGTCTCAGTGCTTTCCAAGCGCTCCCGCAGAAACTCTATCTCTTCCTCCATTTCAGCCTGCCTAGAAGAATCGCTCTTGTCATCGTCCGATCCATTGCCCACGTCTTTACCAGCAGCACGGCCATCTTCCTGGATTTTGAGTCTTCGTTCGAGGTCCTTCAACTTCTTTCGTAACGATTGATTATCCTTCTTCTCGGTAGCTAAGTCGGTCTGTAGCTGTACATTTTTCGAAATCATTTCCTTGACACCCTCATCAGACCTGTTCTGCAATGCTTGATCAAGAAAGTGAATCTTGAGCTTGAGATCGAAGTTCTCTTTGCTAAGCTTGTCGATTTTGCTATTTTGCTCCTTAAGAGTAAGATTATGCTTGCTCCGGGTGAAGGGGTTAGCCATGTGTCGTTTGTCTGGGGAACGGGAGTGCTTCGCTCTGAATTCACGCGCAATGGTATCCGGGACTTGGATGTCTTGAACGTGCCGGGTAATGACTGTATCAGTTGGAGCCGACGGCTGAACACTAGGAGCGCGCGGTGTCTCAGGATTGTCGTTGCTCAACACCTCTTCCTCTAGTCTCCCTAGACTACCATCCAATTGCATGTATCCGGTCAATGAGTTCGTGCCAATGCTCCGATTCTTTTCCCAAGGGTTGATGTCACTGTACGCAGACATGGAGGAAGCAATACTGCCCAGGCTGGGTAGTCTAGACAAGCCTACGCTCGGTCTGTTGGGCCCGCTAGAGCGCGGGATCGCTCCACCAGTCTGCAAAGAATAGTCTGCACCTAAGCTGGCTGTACTGGTCCCGTCTCCTGAGACATCGGAGCGATTCGTGAGCGAGGAAATGGATGACCGTTGGCTGGAGTGTCGGTGCTGGAGGAAGGTCGGTCGGTTGCTAAGCCGCGAAGAAGTGGTTGCAGTTGAGCGTGTCACATCAGCCGCGCTCTCGGTACTAGTTTCGGGGTCGGTAGTAAGTGAGGAGCCTTCTTCCATCTGTGTGAAATCTGGCGCTTTCACCGTGGACGCGCTAGAAGTTGGTCGTTGTGAGTCGCCGGTTTCCTTGGCGAGTGCGTCTAAGGAGGCCTCGTCCTCGGGCGCGCCTGACCGCTCTGCAACGGTCTGTTCATTGGTCTCTGCAATGGACCGTGACTTGTTTCGCCGTGCTGCAGCTGCAGAAGGCGAAGAAGGGGCTACTTCTGGTGTTGAAGCGGTGGCGTCGGTGGCATCTATGGAGCAATCTTCGCTGAAGCTGAGCTGTCGCGCTGCAGGCGTTTTGTAGGCATCTGCAGGCGTGGGAGGCTCTTCCGGTATGAAAGATGACTCGGCTTGTGGCTTGGTTGGTGTGTTTCCGCCCCTGACCTCGAGCTTCTTGGGCTGCTGCTTCTGCTGCTGCTTCTTCTTCTTCGGTTTGGTTAGTTCTCCTAGATTTGCCATGACCCTCTGGAGACTGGTGTCGCCTTCGACAGCCGGCGACATTGGACGTACGTTGCCTGGTGAGCCCCCAAACAGATAGGTATCGTCTGCGCCCGACTGCGCTGGTACAGGAGCAGGCTGCACAGGGGGTTCGGGAATAAAACTGGACTCCATGTCCATCAATTGGCGTTTCATTTCGCGGTCCATGAAGACGCTGCCATCCTGGTCCTCCCTGAAGTCCTGGCGAAGGAAGCTGTCGTCGTCTTCATTGTCTGCTGGGAGCGGTGGCAGTTCCGAGGCGGCCAGTGCAGAGGAGGAGTCGGCGTGTGGTGAGCCTGACATGTCATGGGCAGGTGTCGTCGATGGGCCTGGAGTCGGTGTGGATGGGGCGGCGGCGTTGAGGTCATCTTTCGGCGGTGTTGCGGGCGTGGGAGCTGGAGCGTTGGTTGCCATGTACTGGTCCATCTGGGCAGGTGTGCGCGCGAGGCGAACTGGGCAATCGCGTCGATGTGGCAAAGCGAGTCCTGCTCATCAACATGTTGGAACCATCAGGGCTGAGGAAACGGAGGAGACGGTGAAGGGCAAAGCTTGCGCGCGACTGGCGTTGTCCAGCGCGCGACAACACACGCATACACGCTAACTTAGGTATGTTTACGGCCAAGCGCCCGGTCGTCATAACGGCCCCGTAACGTCAAGGAGCAACACTGGAGTCTTGTCACTCGCTCGCTACTGAACAACGCTTGGTCAAGTCTGGACAGACAGACAGACAGCTCAGATGGGGATGCTGTTGATTGCCATGACTACCACCAGGGATATTCTCTTTCTACATTTCATCAATTATGGCTTGCACGTCAGACATGCAAGCGCGACGCAAACGTTAGGAGCCTGGAGAAAAGCCATCGAGCCTGACACCAACCAACCAGACTGATCGTTCTTCACGTATATGTACAGTGGTAGTATTTATGAGTCAGGACCGAGACTCATGCTCAAGATCCTCCTGCCTTGGCCATTGAGAACTGTATGCAGACGCGGCCAGCCCTTGACATGGCTGCCATATCAACCTCTTCTTCCAAATTTGAACCCTTTTGTCTCTTCTACTTGCGGATGGGGTGGGTATAACAAGCGGATGGTGGCTAGGACTCGTGTCAGACATCGCTTAGGTACCCACACGACAAGTCCTTCCCGTCCGCCTCATCGTCAAGACACGTACTACAGTACCAGGACTGTCTACTTATCCACCGCTGCTGCAACTCACTGTGCGCCTATCGTGAGCAGTCTACTCTCCTCGTCCATCTCATAACTCTGCTCCAGCTGCGTCCCGTGCCCGTTTCTTCTCTTTCTTCGCCCTCCTCTCTTCCTTCCTCTTCACATCCTCGATAGATCTGTGTTTCTTGCTTTTCTTTGCCGGTGCCTCTATCGTCTCTGAGCCATTGACGTCGGCGTGCTTTCTTTTCTCTTTTCTCCTTGAAGGAAGGTTCAGCCCATTTGGCATACCCAGTCCAGCGGTCTCTGTAGGGGTTTCCATCTCGTTGTCTGAATCGCCAATCGTCCCGGCGGCATCACCGTGAAATCCGACCGGCAGGAAACGCATCTTAAGACCATTAACTTGGGCTCGTGGAGTACGGATGGTGGATCTGGTAATGGAGGCTGCCGCTTCTGAGCCTGTATTCGTGTCTGCTTGTTTGTCGCTCAACTCGGGAAGTCGTACGATTGCTTGGAGATGCAGCGTCTGGGATATGCGCGCAGGTACTGGAAGACGATTAGTAAGATGAAGATGATAATGTCCACCCGCCCATGAATGAGTATTGAGACTTACCAGCCTTGAGACTTGACTTTTCGGGCACCAGTACCTCTCGTGGCGTGTGCTCGCTCTTTTCAGTCTGCAAGAATCCGTAGTCAGTGCCCTTGTGGTTCAGGATAGTCTGTCCTCCAAAGGCCTCCTCCAAAGACAATGTATGCAGTTCTTTGAATGATATCCCAGCCGGAGCTTTGATGTGCCAGACCTGCTTACCGTCCAAATCGTCGAATATACTCGCCGCTTTGGAGGTGATTCTGTCATTGAGTGGAATGGGACCGAACCCTCTCGGTGGTACATAGGGTTCAGCTTGCCGAAACTCGACTGTGTGAGACTGTGCTTGTGATGTCCGTACGACTTTTCTACAGAGTATTAGCATGGAATGCACTACGCTAGACTCATAATACAACATACTCTTGCGTGCCTGTTCTGCTTGTTTGTGCTGCAGTTCCCTCTTCAGACCCGTCATCAGAGCTATCTGAGCTGCTGTCACTGGAAATATTCCTTTCTTGGCCATTCTTCGTAGGCAAATGGCTATCGTCGCTCGCGTCTGAGCCAGATGATTCTTCGCCTGACTCTTGTACGGGCTGGTTGGGCGCAGATCTTGACTTGGAGACTGCTTTCACGGCAGATTTCTCCTTTGGCTGATTCGCTGGCCTTTTAACTGCTCCATTTGGCGCATGAATTGCGATAGTTGTCTTGGGCTTGGTGGACGTCTTTGCTTGTGGTGTGCTTTCATTCCCATTGGATGAATCGTCGTCACTGTTGAGAACTTCCTGGCTCAGTTGTGGACGGGGAGGCGCTTTCTTTTGGTTTGCTGTCAAATTGGAGGCCGGTAGGGGCACTGGTGTTCGCTTGATTGCCTTCATCTTGGGTTGGGGGGCTAATATGCGCAATGCGACTACAAAGCTTCAAACAGATGCAGTGGAACTTTTTTTCACAGATCGCCGCGGTACGTCGCGTTGATGGTTGCATGAGCCGCCCGTAATGCGCGCTAGTCTTCATTGGTGGGCGCGCTAATGTAGAAAGTCAACGCATGCATACTCTGTATGTATTGTACATGGAATCGAAGACGAGGGCTCAAAGATCAACCGTAATCATTTAGAATGCCGGGGAAGAGAAGGAGGATCGAAGAAAACGAGTTGGCCGTGATGCCGGCTGACAGGCCTCTCAGCGCGATAGCGGCAGCGCGACTAAAAGCAGAGGCTGCTACCAAACCTCTACCCACACCAGAGATCACTGTGCAGCCGGTGTCGTTGCCGTCCACACCAGAGCCTCTACTTCTGGAATCAGGTCGCGAAACTCCAGAAGTTGAGCAACCCGTGGCACCAGCTAAGCGAAATCTCAGGCTCTGCAACTGGCGAAATGACGCTTCGAATATCTTGGCTGACGGCGAGTCTGAACTTTCTATCAGCCTGAATAAACATGACAGTATTGCTCTCATCGGATGTTTTGACCTCAAGGTACTTAAGGGAGCTGTTCATATGAACGGTGCCAACATTGGTACGATAGACCGTTCAGGAGGGAAAGGCACACTCCACCGTGTGTATGCACCAGCCACACACCCAATACTGAAGATTCGTGGCCTTGACGATACAAATCATGTACAATTCCTGAGTTGCGAAGAACCAACTCCTTTCGCCCAAATCAGTCCATTGTTCGAAGACCTTTGGCACGTCCGATCTACATTTAAACCACAAAGGTCGTTCATCATTGTAAGTCGATATCCCCAGTCCATCTAGTTCATGCATACGGTTATGTATGATTGCAGCTAACCATACACACATATTCACAGGTCACAGAATCGGACAAAGATCCGCTATTGCGGCCACTGATTCCCGATGTGGCGTCTGAAGATTGGTTGCGGGCAATTGAAGACTGCAGCACTGGTACCTCTGTCACTGTCATCACGGGGCCTTCCAACTCTGGCAAATCCAACCTCTCAAAACGACTCACAAATCGATTACTGACAGGTCTGGGTAAAACTCTCCGACCTGTGCGTGCAGTATGTTACCTCGATCTCAATCCCATCAAACAAGAGTATGCGCCTAGCGGGCAGATTTCCCTTGTAATGCTAAGAGAAGTGAGCTTGTCTCCAAGCTTCACACATCCAATGACAAACCCAGTCGGCAGTGACCAGCATGGCAACGAGATCATTCGTGCTCATCCAATTCCAGTCGATCTAGCAAACTATATGGACTATTACCAATTATGTGTGGAGGACCTCTTCTTTGCCTTCCAGACCTTGCAGTCCCGCGACAATTCTCTGTCGCTTGTAGTCGATACACCCGGTTTCGTTGCCAATTCATCGACCGACATCCTCCTCAAACTACTCACACGCCTCAAACCACACCACATCGTTCATGTTGGCGACCAGCAGGCGGTCGATACCGAGAATGCATCAGTACTACAGGTCCTACATACTACAGCTTCCCAATATCGCAGTACCGTTCACGAGATCTCTGCTCAATGGGTTCTTCCAGTAACCATTCGGAGCAATGCGGAATTGGAGGCGATGCAAATGCAGTCCTACTTCCATGCGAAAGAAAGCAACAGGAAGCCAGATGGTTCTGCATCACCTAGCTGGACCCAACGACCCCTCTCCCACATGATACCATGGGAGTTTTCGTACCAAGACGGCAAGGACCGAACACAAGACATGGTAGGCTTTGCCATGTACACTGAGCCCATCGAGCCCAAGTCGCTCGTCTACACGCTCAATGGATCGATTGTGCACGTCATACAATCTACATCAGCTCTTATTCCACACCCGTATACAGGCCTCCCTAGAACGGGAAAGTACCGGATTCCCTACTTTCCAGCCGACGAGGGTACAGCCGTCGTACAGCCGTTTGACCCTCGCACATCCAATTTGGTATGTACAGCGATGCTTCGTGGTTTTGACCTAGAAAGGGGGGTTGTGCAGTTGTTGGTCCCGAAAACGATGGAGGCTTTATTATATCAGTTGGCGCCTGAGCGGACAGTACTTGTGACTGGTTGCTGCGGGATGCCTGAATGGGCGTTCGTGGAGGATATGTATGCCAAGCACCGTGCAGGGCTGCCGAGCGAGGTAGACTGGAGTGGGGATATGAAGCAACAGCCTTGGGTGATGAGAAAAGACTCTAGTGAACGGATGGGGTACTTGAACACGGTACGTCGCGTGCGTAAGTTCCAGACCTAGGAGTGAGATGTAGTAGGGCTGTAGTGGTATCACGAGTCGGTTGTTGAGATGTAGAAAACATGAACGCCCATGGGCTTGTAGCATACTATCTTGCAGTATACTGGCCGAAATATAGATACACTCAGTCTCTTCGCCATTCCGCTCTATTTCCCCCCTTACAAGATCATTTTGGGGGGAGCTGGATGAGATTAGCATGCCGACCGAGGTGCGAGAAATAGGAGTCGAGCACTTACGATCCAAAATCGGGCAAGGAAGATTGCGCTCGTACTTTGAACCTGTCGACAGTCAGTCAGTGAGTCGGTGCTGCAGTGTCCGCGGCCGAGGCGGATACATATCCGGGGGTGGAGAACCAACCTCCGGGCGCGGTCGGTGGGCGGTATGGATCCGGGTGCTTCCACTTCTCAAGCAAGTGCTCAGCCTCCTTGATGAGTTCCTGCGCACTGCTGTCAGCACATTGCCGCCTCCCATGGAGATGGCGTCGTCAGGCTGGGATGTAATGGGAGCATGGTGGGAGGGCGGGCGGGCGGTTTCATGGTGATGTTGGTGTTGGACAACGCACCCTGCGCAGTCGCGGCTCTGTGACGTTCTTCTGCTTCTCAAACAACTCGCGAATATACATGGCCTGGCCGCGCCAGAGGTAGCGATGCACGCTCCAGTCGAGGGCGAGCTTGAGGGACCGCCGGTAGAGGCGCCTGTGGGTGCGGGTCAGTCATTTGCGTGCAGGGCAGCGCAGGCGGGCGTGGGAGGCGCACAGCACGTGGATGCGGGAGCTCATGGTCAATGGCAGCGCCAGCTGGGGGCCTTTGGTGTTCTGTAGTCGATGTGGTAGATGTGGATTTGCGTGCAACGGGTGCTGGGTGGCCGCAATGCCCTTTGTCGTCGGTGCAGGTCGTCGGGCAGCTGGACAGTCTCAATTGGGGGGAGAGGTCGTAATGCTTGGCGTGGTTTTAGGCTGGAGGTCAGAAGTGGACGCCCGGGAGAGAGCCAGCCAGCTGCCCTGGTCCACGCCCGCCCTGTCACAGTAACCTCAGCCAAGTCCCGCACTTTTCTGCCTCTTTCTCGCGCGCAAAGGCTGTATCCTCGATCTTCTCCACTCCATCCCCCTCCGCTGCCCCCTTTCTCTTCTTCCTGTCTTCGGACCCGTGTTGCCGCCTATCATGTCTGGCCAACAATGTCTCCGCCGTCTGCCCGCGAGCCTGCGTTCCTCTGTCCCAGCAGCTCTGCGCCCATGTGCACGAGCGCTGAACCGGCTTCCCGCTGCGCGCAGCTACTCCGCCATCTCCAAGGCGACATCGTCTGGTCTGATGGCCCAGGCGTCAAAGTAGGCGGCAGCCATTGAGTTGAGAGAAGCCTCGGCTAACAGGGCATAGACGACCTGGACAGTTCCCCTCACAACGCCTGTGGAGCCTCGACCAGACACGAAAATATGGTGCGCACCCTCTGACGTCTGTCTGCCCGTGCCACGTGAATGTTGACACAGCATGCAGCCGATTCCACCGTGGTCAAAGTGCCCGAAATGGCCGAGTCCATCACAGAGGGCACTCTCAAACAGTGGTCCAAACGTGTGTAAACAACCCTTGTACCTACGAGCCAAGTCGGTGCTGATGCTGCACAGAGGTTGGCGACTATGTTGAGCAGGACGAGGAGATCGCGACCATTGAGACCGATAAGATCGACGTATCTGTAAACTCCCCCCAGGCTGGTACTATCAAGGAGTTGTTGGTCAACGAGGAGGACACCGTAACCGTTGGGCAAGATCTGGTCAAGCTGGAACTTGGCGGCGAGCCCTCGGGAGGAAGCAAGCAGGCGGCCAGCAGTGAAGCCAAGGAGCCCGCGTCCAGCGATCAGGAAACGTCCTCACAGCCATCGGGCGAACAGGAGCAGGCCAAGCCCAAGGGGGAGAGCTCGCAGCAAGAGTCAGCACCAGCAGCTCCCAAGGAAGAGTCCAAACCCGCACCATCGAAGCAAGAGTCAAAGCCGCAGCCACAAAAGCATGAGTCAAAATCTACGCCAAAAGAGGAGACCAAGGTAGCCCAGCCAGGTAACCGTGAGGAGCGTCGTGTAAGTACCCAAGCGCACATGTGCACCACAGCTAGTAACAGTCACAACAGGTTAAGATGAATCGCATGCGTCTCCGTATTGCCGAGCGCTTGAAGCAGTCGCAGAACACAGCCGCCTCCCTGACCACTTTCAACGAGGTCGACATGTCCTCCATTATGGAATTCCGCAAGCTGTACAAGGACGAGATCCTCAAGAACAAGGGCGTCAAGCTCGGTTTCATGTCCGCCTTCTCCCGCGCCTGCATCCTCGCCATGCGCGATGTTCCCGCAGTCAACGCCTCCATTGAGGGTCCCAACGGCGGTGACACCATTGTCTACCGTGACTACGTCGATGTCTCCGTCGCTGTAGCTACCGAAAAGGGTCTTGTTACTCCTGTTGTGCGCAATGCGGAGAGCCTCGATATGGTTGGCATTGAAAAGGCGATTGCAGAGCTTGGAAAGAAGGCGCGCGACAACAAGCTAACCATTGAGGACATGGCTGGTGGTACCTTTACCATCTCGAACGGTGGCGTTTTCGGCAGTTTGATGGGAACGCCCATTATCAATCTTCCTCAGACGGCGGTGCTTGGTCTGCACGCCATCAAGGACAAGCCCGTTGCTATCAACGGAAAAGTGGAGATCCGACCAGTAAGTTGAGAGCTTGCGAAAATATTGAAATGGTCTAGCTAATACCAAAATAGATGATGTACCTTGCTCTCACATACGACCACCGACTGCTCGACGGCAGGGAGGCTGTTACCTTCCTGGTCAAGATTAAGGAGTACATTGAGGATCCCAGGAAGATGCTTCTATAAATCAGTTCCGGTGATGGGACTGGTTCTACTCTGTATATTTAAATTTGTCATCGACAAGGGAGACACCTTGGATTTTCTGCAGCGATGAGCAGTAAGGGGCTCTGGCGGCCGCTTTGTGCTTCTGTATATGTCGTGGAGTGATTTATCTAGATGCGCTTGGCCAGTTGTGTCGATGCTGTATTATACGGTAATTGCAAAATGAGTGAGGAAGCTTTGAAAGTGCGTGTCCTGTGTTTTGATTGTGATTCCAATCCGATTTGTAATTTCGGGTACGAAAGAGGCCAGTGTAGATGGAGGTGCTTCGTCCTGTTGGGAAGCTAGAAACCTCTTAGCATAGACTGATGGGCCTGCGGAAGTCCATATGGATGCAGTTGCACTGTGCAGATGCCTTGTCGTTGTGGTGCTTCCCTATTCGCAATTCTAACAGCGCGTCGCGCCACGGTTACTGCATGACTACCGCAATGTCCAACAGATAGATCAACAACGCAAAGTCATATTGCTCTGAAAATGCTTGCATAAATTTCCTCGTGCTTTCCTGATTGACTTATTGCATTTTGGGCTGATTTGACTGCGTTGGGGTGGTGCAGTATTTTCTTTAGGTTTTTCATGGTGTAGGTTTATTTTGAAATATTATCAGTGACATGAAGTTCAACATGGCGACAGTGAATACAGGCAACGCTACAGAATCACGGATGAGACAATGGGATACAATGATCCATGTAGAAGAAGACATTGAAAAACGCATTGCAACACATCATAATCACTTGGGGTGGACATGAAGAGTAATTCGATGCATGGCATCAGTATGTAGGTAGATAGTACAGATCAATGTGACGCTAAACCTAATCAAGAGAAGCAGTCCACAATGTAGATTCAAGGGAGATATCTAAACACACCAATTCAGAAACAGATCTACCATCAGCTAGTCGCAGAGATTCAAGACAACATTTTTCGAGATTGTAGCTATCCATATCATCGCCCAGTTGTAGTTGACCTCGAAGTCATCATACTATGAAATGCAGCAGTCCCAAAAATCCAAAGTCAAACGTCGTCACTTTCATGTCATTCCCCTGCACCGATTTCGCGTATGCCTTCGAAGTATCTAGCAGCACTGTTACCCAGGCCACAGTATCGCATTTGCAACCAGCTTCTATCTCACACATCCCATCACCTGCTCTATCGCAAATCACCATGCCCAACCATTGCTGTAAAGCAACCTGTTGCCGGTACGCCAAGAATTAGCCCAGCACTTGACAAACCGGGTTCGGATGATGTCACCGATAGAAGTCGTGCAATACTGCCAAAACACCTAAATTGTCCAATCAAATGACACCAGTGTGATACTGCACAGGTTAGAAGTCAACACGCATTTAAACTTGAGACCAAAAACTTGAATATGCTCGATTCAGCTCATGAGCCTGCCGTCATCAAAGTGACCAGCTAATATACAGCTCTGGTATAAACCCCGTGAAAAGCCGAAGACCCAAACCCAGACCGACTCCCATTATCATTGCATGATGAAAAGACCCATGAAGAACACCGTGAAGAAAGAACTCGAGAGCAAAGCGCGCTTAGAGCTCTTGCGAAGGACCCTTGCCGGGCTTGGCTGTCTTCTTGGGCAGCAAGTCTGAGATGCGTTAGTATGCGATGTGACGAGTCGAGGATGGAGACCAGGGGAAAACGTACTCTGGTGAATGTTGGGGAGAACACCACCTTGGGCGATGGTGACGTGTCCGAGAAGCTTGTTCAACTCCTCGTCGTTGCGGATGGCGAGTTGGAGATGACGGGGAATGATACGGGTCTTCTTGTTGTCGCGAGCAGCGTTACCAGCCAACTCAAGGATTTCAGCAGCCAAGTACTCAAGAACGGCGGCGAGATAAACGGGAGCCCCGGCACCAACACGCTGAGCGTAGTTGCCCTTGCGGAGCAGACGGTGGACACGACCGACGGGGAACGCGAGACCAGCCTTGGATGAACGACTAAGAGAATATGGTTAGCGATTATGTCGATGAGGTAGGACGCGAAATGAACAGCGATCGAAATTGATGTGACATGCAAGAGACGCGTCAAACAAAGTGTACAAGACGCGTCAAATGGATGCGAAAGAAAATGTACAAGACGCGAAAAGCAGACTTGAACGAGAGAGCTAAAGCAAAAGTGCAATACAAAAATGAAAGGTAAAGACTTGTTTTCGCGTGCGCCGGGTAGGGGGAGGACTTACGATTGGGCACTGGACTTTGAGCCGCTGGCCTTGCCTCCGGACTTGCCTCCAGTCATTTTTGAAAGTTGGGGTGGTTTGGGTGATTTGGGTGGATGTGGTGGTGGTGGGAGGCGCGTGGATGGGCAGAGAGAGACAGAGAGAGATAATGGGGGCGTGGAGTGTCGAGACGATGGATTGCTTGCTACGGCTGGGGGGGGGCGGGGCGGTCTTATAAGGACGGGCGCGGCGTGTTGTGGGTGCGCGAGATCAACCTGGGCTGCGGGCTCGCGGCAGGTTGGCTTGTTCGGGGCAAGCGTCAGTTGTCGCCCGGCGGCGGCCAAAAGGGTGCACAATAACTCCCTACATTACTGTACACAGTAGTGCAAAGCGCATCGCATGGCCCGGCGCCCAAGTTAGTGCACAGGATCACACCTGCGCCCTCGCTTAGCCACCCAAGCCAAGCAGCAACCCTGGTGCACGGGCCCCGCCGCCGCTGCTGGATCACAACATCACAGCGCGCTCCCCATAAGTAGCCTGGCCCCCGCCGTCGACGGCCTTCTCTTCATCCATCTCGACACCACCCTTCTCGACCCATTTCCCCCCCCACCAACCATCTCACGTCCCAGCTCCCGCTTCAATCCACACTTTCCAATCCACTCCACCCATTCTCCCCACATCGCACAAAATGCCTCCCAAGGGTGCCCAGAAGACTCCCACCACCGGCGGTAAGGCCCCTGCTGGAAAGGCACCGGCTGAGAAGAAGGAGGCTGGCAAGAAGACTGCCGCCCCCTCCGGTGACAAGAAGAAGCGCACCAAGACCAGGAAGGAGACCTACTCTTCCTACATCTACAAGGGTGAGTTTTTTGCCCTCCGCTCGTTTCGCTTTGTCGCGTGTTGAACGCGTCTTGGGAGTCGCATCAGTTCCCACCGCCTCTTCTTACCCTCTGGCCTTTTTAGTCCTTTCAACCAAACACTATTGACGCGTCTTTTCCAGTTCTCAAGCAGGTCCACCCTGACACCGGTATCTCCAACCGCGCCATGAGCATTCTCAACTCGTTTGTCAACGACATCTTCGAGCGCGTCGCCACCGAAGCCTCCAAGCTTGCTGCCTACAACAAGAAGTCCACCATCTCATCGCGCGAGATCCAGACCTCGTACGTTTTTCTTCTTCAAAATCTGCCTAGTTTCCACCAGCCCAATGTACTAACATCGCTGTCAGAGTCCGACTTATTCTGCCAGGCGAGTTGGCCAAGCACGCCGTCTCCGAGGGTACCAAGGCAGTGACCAAGTACTCTTCATCCACCAAATAGAGTGCTTTCTTCGCTGGGTGTTTTTCTCTGGGTCTTATTTGCTTGTCTTTTCCGACAACGCGGTTATGGGGTGCGGTGTTCACGGGTCATTTGCTAATGTGATCATGGGTCGGTTTGCTTGTCATCGAATCATCTAGTCATGATTGACTATGAGGTCCATCTGGGTCTGTACATTATACCACAGCAGACGGGAACGAAATCAATTCTTTCAAACTTCAAGATCCGCCTGTTTCTGTCTTTTCACTCTATGCGTTTTCCCGAGTTGTTTGGTACTGATGACCGTCACCCTGGCTTGTTTTGGCTTGAACTCGGACAATCACACTTGTCGACAGGAGAGTCCATTTGCATCCGCCGTGCAATCATACGAACTATTACACCAAATCGCCATGTATAGGGTGACAACAAGATCATTCGAAACAACGTTTTGCGATTGATTTGAAGTGCGCCATATTCGGATCGACACCAGAACCGTCGTCGCCCTTTGCATCATTCTTAGGTCTCTACTTTCGTCTCAGGAAATTACGAGGCATTGGGGTCGTGAATTCATGTCTCTCTGCAGCATGTACGCGCCAAATCACCCATGTGCCCAAACTCCCCTATACGTCGCGCCCTCGAAAAAGCAGGATAAACATTCATTGGCCACGAGTTCATTTGTCCTCCAAAACGCCCAGATAGTCCATGCGCGACCCCGCTCCCAATCCACCACAAATCCCCCCCTCCGCCCTACACTATATTCAAGGCCCTACACCTCCCCGTCCTCATCCCAACTCTCGACCTCGTCAATTGCGCCCTCCCTCTCCTGTCCCCTAGGCGGTGGCTCACAATCCTGCACATGGACCACAGACTTGCCCTGCACGCTTCTGATGCCATCCTTCCACTTCTCGTAATCTTCTTGCGACGTTACAAGAAAGGCGAGGAGCATGCTTGGATCCATTTCGCGGATTTGCAAGCGTCGGATGCGGCGCGTATGGCAGCTTGAAATGTCGTCCAGGGTGTACGTCGATGGCTCGGGTGGAGATCTAGGGGGAAGGGAGGAGGCGGACGGGACGATGGTTGTCGATGAGGAGGTGGATGTGATGGACGAGGCTAGCTGTGTGGTGGTCTCGTCGGAAGAGGTTGGAGGGCGGTAGGGTAGGTGGGGTCGGGTACTGTGAGGGTCGAGGTAGAAGAAGTGGTTCGCTTGGGTTGCAACGAAGTAGTGCGAGGCTGACGGTCGGCCGCTGTGCCGTTTATTAGCACCTTGACGATACTTTGCTGACTCGAGAGGAAGCCACTCACCCGGCGATACCCATGCTCTGCTTCATTTGTAGACTCGCTTTCAGTGCCTCCCAGTAAACGGGCGTGATTTTGTCAATACCCAGTCGCGTGCCCACTAGAATCAAGGTTGGTATCCACTCTCCATCCTCTTCCACCGCCACCTGCTTCAATTTGTCCTCGTAGACGTCTGCCCCGTCGCCAGACACATAGACTCGCAAGCCAGCCTCCTTGTACTTGTGGACAAGATCCTGGATGCAGCGGGCAGCAGCCGAAGGACCGAACCATTCTCCAGGGTACTTGCCGCATACAGCAGCGCCGTGTTCGACGAAGCGATGTATTGAGAAGGGTGCCTGTGGGTCATCTGCAAATAGGGAAAGTATATTGCAGTGCTCCTGTGCTGTAGGATCGTCTTGATATCTCCAGTCCCTGCCCAGTCGTAGTGTCTGGAGCGCATTCGCGAGTATGCACTGTCCGCTTCTGATCATGCAGCCAAAGCCCGTGTCCGACGTGAATCCCGGGGACGCAAGATTCTGCATGCGTACTCTGAAGCTCATGGCACTTGTCGCCTTGGGGTCCTGGCTCTTCTGGATGACAGGGAAGCCTGAGCGGTACGTCATCCATATTCGTGACTCGAAGTCGTCGAGAAAGGCAGAAGGCCAATTGCCGTACTGCGCGGGATCCTGGCCATTTGGTGACTCCTTGCGCTCTTGCTCGTCTATACTGGTACGGATCCAACTCTCGTCCTCCGTCCGCTCAGCAGGAAGCGTAGGGCTATGGCTGATGGGAGTATCATGTGGAGAAGGCTGCGGTGGGGGCGGTTGTGGGTCGTACCGTTGGCCGAGCAGCCATATCGGTTCGTTGGAATCGTTGGTCGGTGGAGGGTCGTAGAATGTGCGGACGAGGTTACGGCCGACGCGTTCAAAGTCGTTCATGGCGATGGGAAGTCGTCGACAGGGCGGATTGCTGATGCGGTGGCCGTGGATGTGCCTGTGCACGTATGTAGATGCGGAGGCGGGAGCGGGGCGGAGGTCCGAGATGGAGGGACAGTTACCGTACCGGTATGGAGGAGGGCGCCCAACACTGGAGCTGGCCTACCACCTGCATACGTGCGTTCTTCGTTCTTCGTCCTTCGTCCTCTGTCTAGGGCAGCAGGTGTTTGCAGCGTGAGTTGAGGCTAACCATGTACTTGAAGAGGGCGGCGGTTGGGGTGTGTGTTGTGGGGGTGTCTGGCGCTGGTGCCACGACCAAAGTGGCGGCAAGGTCTGGCCAGAGTGCAGGTTGAGGTCATATGAGGCGCACGAGGGCTTGCCTTGCGGCGGGGGGGAGGGGCGCATCAGCTGACTTGCTGTCCGTGTCACTCCCTGACGACTGCACAGTAGAAGTACTCTAGTATCCAACAGAACGAAGAACGACTGGCATTGTGCTGGCGAACAGTCCAGGCTATGGTAATGATGCCGTATGCCGTATGCCGTATGCCGTATGCCGTATGCCGTATGCCGTGCAGTGCAGTGCAGTAGTGCAGTGAAGGAAGGGGGCAGGCACGGCGATGGTTTGTCTTGTGCGCACCCTCGTCACAAGTCGTGTACAGTAGAATACATCGTTGGTTGCTTTGGGGCAGCTGTTGCTCCGTCAGGTGGCCATGGACAGGAACGATTGGCCCAACGTAGTAGGGTAGATGGATACTCTACTACTCTACCTATACCGGTAGCAGTTGCTAGGGCTGTACATGTGGATAGCAAGTACATACTTTGTACTGTTCGTTCGCATCATGCTGTGCGTTATCAGGTCATTGCCATTGCCCTCATTTCGAAAACCTCCAGAATCCATGACGGGCATACTCTTGTACTATAACCAGGGCCAGGCTACGGACGCCACACCACAAGAGGGCACGACCACACACCGCCACACACCGCCACACACCGCCACACACCGCCACAACGACGTCTTCCAACCCACTCTTCCCATCCCACTCCCCTGCCGACTGACTATACTACACGTATTGCACGCTCCCAGTCCAGCATAGCATGTCGCGGAAAAAGGCCAGAACCAAAGCCAAGGGCCATGCAAAATACACACCTGCACGTCGTGCGCCGGCCACTCGCCACTCATTCCAGCCATGGCCACCAGAAGAGGCCCAGGAGGGTATGTTTGCACGCTCCTTCCCATTTCTACGAGATTGGGCTGTTGACAATACCCCCTCCAACCCCCCGCAGCCATGGCACCCAACTTATCGCTCGCTCAAGAGGCCCGCTGGATGTCCAGCCACCGCACGGCTGCTTACGAAGCCGGCAAGAAACTGCGACACATGCCCATACACTTCATCAGTGCTGGCCGTCTAGAAGGCACAATCGAGGAGCGTGCGCCCACGGCCCTCGAACTTGCTGATACCGAAACCGACAACCAGCCCATTACAGCTTCCTCCTCCTCATCTGCCCCGCCTGACAACGCCGCCGCCATGGCCCATATGGCATTGCGCAGTCCCTCGCCCACACCCTCAACTTCATCCTCTAGTGGAGACGAGGTGGTTTTCCGTGGACGAGGCCAGGAACCGCCTGCGCCAGCCATCATTCCCGAGCCAGCTCGGACAGAAGCCATGCAGGCTGCCGTGAAGTCGCCTAAGAATACACCCACATCTGTCGCCCGAGCTGACGACACCCGACCGAGGATAGCAAACAGCCCGCCCCAGCTCACTGTGGCTTCTACTGTTGCGCACACAACCGTCTCGGTGGAAGGGGAAGACGAGATTTCCACCGCGACCAGAGTCTGCATCAAAGCTTCGGCTGAAGATAGCCCAGAGTCGGCCTCGGATTCCGACGCTGTTGTGCAAGAACAATTTGAAAGGCGCCGTGGAGGCAGGCCTGCGTGGGAAGGCACCACGACTGAGTGGCAACATCGCAGCAAGCCAAACGTTGGATGGCTGTCCAATCAAGATCGCCCCAACATGGATGCCTTCCTCCGTGGTAATGTGAACCCACGAGATGCCGCCGTGGACGACTATATGCAGAATATAGAGGATTTTGGTCTGGCTGCTGATGCCGCGACAGCATCTGGCTTCGCTTGTCGCGAGATGGATCTTGACGCTGGCAGTCACAATGACTGGGAGTCAGCCTCGGATAGTCAAGGCGCAGAGGAGCACGGAAAAGAAGAAGGTAAGACTTACCATGAACCGCACAAGTCCCAGGAACCCCAGGAACCCCATGACGGCTGGGACTCCGATATGCTTCACGATCTTTCGCAACTCAGCACATCATCAGATGTTATGGACACGGTCGCTCGCATTCTCGCCAAGCGCACACGCAATAACGGCCCACAATACCTCTGCGTGTACGAGGGGCATGTGACAGATGACGCGCGCTGGCTGCCTTGTACTTTCCTCAAGAATCCCTCTGAGAAGCTTTTGGTACGCGCGTTTGAAGAAGATGCAGAGAGGCGTGAACAGCAACAGAGCAGCTCAAGCGAGTTTGCGGACGGGGACGAGGAACAAGGTACCGATCACGATGACGAAGAATTCGACGACGAAACTATAGCACGAGTTCTACAGAGGCAGGAAGAGCTTGGCCTAGGCTCTGACGAGGTTCTGCTCTATGCCGGCGATGAGGTATTTGACGTGCCGTTCAGTGCCAAACCGAGTCCTTGTGGTCATACTTCAGGATCGAAGAGAGCGCGTCAATCTCGTGGACGTGGCAACCGCGAGACGTCATTTCCCTCTGCATCTGCCTTGGCTGACGCACTTGCCATGGACCCGTACGGAGGCTTTGATATCATGGACACCGAGCGCCCTTCACTGCGACCTAAGAAGAAGGGAAGACGGGGTCAAATGCCGCCCGAGTTGGAGGATCCAGATCTAAACGAACAGCTACAGAGTGCCTGGGAGAATGATAGGGCGAAGAAGCGTCTTAAGAAGGCAGAGCGCGAGGAACTTCGACAACAAGGCTTGCTGGGCAGAAAAGGCAAGAGCCCCAACCTCAAGGTCAAGTACCAAGGCGGGGTGACTATGGAGGATGTTGTTGAAGAGATTCGCGAGTTCCTGATAGGCGACATGCAAACGTAAGTTTCTTTTCTTCGAGATCACAGTGAACAGTTTAAGCTAAGTGGATGTAGCCTTTCCTTGCCTCCCATGGACACTCATCGGCGCGCGACCGTTCACCACGCAGCCTCCTTCTTCAACTTGACATCTTGCTCGCGCGGCGATGGTCAAAATAGATTTACTGTCCTATCGAAAACGCCACGTACACACAGCTATACTGATGACGAGTTTGACATTGCCATTCGGCACAAGGGCTTCCTCAAGCGTCTACAAGGTCCTTTGTACAGTCAAGGTGGTGTGCGTAAAGGCGGAAGTTTCCGGACAGGTGCACGAAACAAACCCCAGACTGGGTACAAGGACGGCGAGACGGTGGGAGCAGATGCTCCAGCACTTGGCCCGGAGAACAAAGGTCATGCTCTACTGAGTAAGATGGGCTGGTCCACGGGTATGGGCCTAGGCGCACTCGACAATAAGGGTATCCTCCAGCCTATTCCCCATACTGTGAAGATTAACAAAGCGGGTCTACAATGAGCGTAATCCCATTGAGCAAACGGCAACGTGCGATGGTCACGGTGTCTTGTCCCGTTATTTATTTGCTTGGGCAGATGATGTGTGTGTACGGATGATACGAGAGTCACGATGTGCGCTTTTACGCCATGATCAATAGCACACATGCTTTCAAGGTCGCTTGCTTACACGCTTCAAGTCGAAGCCTGCCACAATGGGTCTATTGTATTATATTTATGACTTTTTTTTTGCATCCTGGAATTGCGGGGATGGATATGGACAAGGCTAGCAGGCTATTAGGAGGTGCCCTCATACGGACCGAAATCGGGTGCCTTTGGTAAATAGCAAGTCCCAAGACTTTAGCACAGTGCCCTGTTAAGGAAGTTCAAACCCTTCATTACCTAGCTCCATCTGCCCCAAGTACCTGACCATGGCAATGTAAGTGCACTATCATCTCTAGAGGGAAAGGAACAGCTCATCACAGTGCTGTGTATATGCCCAACGCAGTGATTCCTCGTTTGCTTTGCAGAGACTGCCCTCAGGCATAATGATTACCTAGACTGCATCCTACTTAGCTTTTGGCGAACCTCGGCTCCTGTTCAGGGCGCGGGGGGGGGGGGGGCTCGCAACCACAACAGGCCGTGTACAATGTGCCACTGCACTCGGTGTAGTAGTATGTATGTACGTTGCAACGCGTAAACCCAAGCGGGCAAAGTCTAGGAATAGTATGTGTACATGTGTAGAGTAGAAGACGAGAAGCTGATGACCCTTGGGCTTGCGCCGGATGGCAGCAGAGAGCGGTTGGGCTTGGCTACGTGGCTCGAGTCTTGGTTGGTGCATAGCTTCATGCTTAGCCAGCCCAGATGAGCTTGTATTGATTGCACAGGGACGCTTACAGGGTCTGGTACCGACAGAGTGTTGAATGTACCTACTCTATACCTGTTGTATTGTACCTTACTGTATGTACGGTGCATACTCCATGGCCGTGTCGATCCTTGAGGGGGTGGATTGCAAATTTTGTCCACTATAGGTACGGTATCCACATGTGATCGTCCAACCTGCTGAACCTGGATGATGGACTGTTTTCCCCCCATAGCGAGCGTTGTGACATGCATGGATGCTCGTGGAACTGTCATCTGTGAGAGTCTGTGATTACATATTCTATGTCACATATTGTGCTGCATGCGAGGTGTGTGTATATGTATGTATGTACATACTGTGTACTTAGATACAAGTGCCAAGGTACTGTAGTTGGCCAAGAACTGTCCTGTCGGTGGGGATGAGCGATCAACGCGGCCCCTGTTGCTATACATGTAATATGTACATGTATATACAATACATAACTACATATATATATATATATATCTCTTTACAAACCTGGTTATGTGCATGGCACAGAAGCCGATGAGTAAGTAGTCAGTACAGGATGATAGACACCGGCCTCGGTCAAGAGTGCGATACTCTACATATTGTCATAGTAGATACTAGTATGTACCGTATGTCAAGTACATAGTAGCTGTGTATGTAGTGGAGAAGCGTGGCTCGGGCGCCCGAGCGTCGAAGAACACCGTCCATGCTGAGCGCGAGGCGGCCAGGGCGTCCACTCCTTTCATCCTTTTCCGAACATCATCAGATGCTTTCGGATCCTATCCATGATTTCCATCGCGCCCACACCAATGCGCCCTATCTTATGCTGCTCCGTGCCCCCTCTGATAGGGTAAAGCACAAACCTAACCGCCAGCCGCCACTTGCCCTGTCTGGATGGCGCGCGCCGTCTGCCCAGGGGTTTGTCAACTGGTCAACCCCTACGCCAGCTGTGAACGGGCTAGTTTTTCGCATCTACAGGTCGCCATTGAGAGTCAGGGTCAGGCTGGCCCGCCGCAGTGGAGGCCTACCATGCACATAATAGTACGGTAGTGTGGTAGGTAGCATCGTCTGATCGCTCTGTTCTCGTATCCTGTCTATTTCTCGTACTTCTGCTTCTGCTTCTGCTTCTGTTCTCTCCCAACCCTTCCCTCACACGTCCTTTTCCAAGTCTTGTCTTCTCGGTTGCCCCCGTCGTCCATTCGTTATGCCATCATGATCAACAAGGGCTTTCGTATCTCTTTTGCCCACCTTCTCTTCTATGTCTCCACTTTTGTAATCACCACTCAGCTGTGGTCTGTATGGCGACAATCAAACACCCGCTACTTCACCGTCGGCCCACGGGACTGGCAGTGGAATGCCAATCTTCATGCCAATGTACATACACTCAGCCATGACCAGTGCGATTCCGCCTTTCCCAAGCTGTACCACAGTCTTGATGAGGCAGTCAGCCGCCGACAAGGCCGCAAGGTACATGTGCAAGATATTGCAATTCGTGAAGGCAGATGCATGTTGAGGCTCATGATATTTGAGGGTGAAGTATGTCCTACCTCATCTGCTACTGCTCTCTGCTTGCTTATTTACCTATCCTCCAGTTGTTTGTTATAGATGCCGGGAAGCCCGAACAATGCTATGTCACAAACGGCAACGAGCGTGAACGCATACTGGGCACCCTTGCACAGATCGACCGCGCTCTCACTACCCTTCCCACTTCCGACCCAGCTGTGCCGAACATCGAGTTCTCTCTGTCACTCGACGATCTGCCCCGAAGATCCAAGGATCACGGAGTCTTCTTCGGCTACACTCGCAAGGAGGGACGTGAGTACAATGATATCTGGATGATGCCCAACTACGCATACTGGTCGTGGAACTACACCCACGCACCGAGTTGGAACAGCATTCGCCGAGAGATTGAGCAAAGAGAGGCCGAAATTCCGTGGGCGATGAAGGACAGTCGAGTGGTGTGGAGAGGCAAGGTGAAAATGGCCAAGTTGAGGTCGGAGCTCGTGCGCGTTAGTGAAGGGAAGGCATGGAGTGATATCAAACCTGTGGTCATCAACAATGCCTCAGACCCACATACAAAGGATGTCATGAATCTGCGTGAATTCTGCGGGTAAGCGCAAAGGGCGATTGGGCCGTGGAGCAGGACATGGGGCTAACAGTGGGTTCCAGCTATAAGTACACCATACAAACCGAGGGAACATCGTACTCTGGGCGCCTCAAGTATCTACAGCTGTGTCGCTCCGCATTGATCACCCATCCTCTTGAATGGCAAGAGTTTCATACGCACCTCATGCGCCTCGCTGGGCCAGATGCAAACTATATTGAAGCCTCAGAAAATTTTGGAAATCTGGAATCGGCCATGGAGTACTACCACGCCCACGATAACGAAGCTGAGGAGATTGCGAGGAATAGTCACGAGACCTTTGCGCGACGATATTTGACACCCGCTGCAGTAAGTCGTGCCCTGCTTGATTCTCTCACAGTACGTTGCGCTGATCAGAAACAAAGGTCACTTGCTATTGGAGACGGCTGTTCTGGTCTTGGGCATCAGTGCAAGGCTACGAGCCTCAACTATACATTACGGACGACAAGGGCAATAAAGTTATGCGAGGAACGCCATGGTCAGCGTTTGCAGCCAATTGGCCCAAGGATCCTTCAATCATTCCATGAGCGTTTAGGAGTTGTGAAGGATGAATGTTGCACTGCATAGTTGGAGTTTTGAGCTTGGTTTTTCAACTATGATACCCGCGTCCAAAGATTGTGGAGGCCCAGTCCCCATGTATAGACACCATATTCAACACCTTGAGACAAGTCCTGCTTGTTTCTTCTTTTCCCAAAGAGATTGGAAATGGCACTAACCTGTGATATTTCTCCTGAATCGGCCAATCACTGACGACTCTGCATGACTGTAATTCCCAAGCGGCAGCTCCGCTATGAAGCCCGCCGCTTGCGCAATGCTACAAACTCAACTTCTAGGTACCCGTTCCAGGCCTTGGCCTCCTCTCTAGAGATATGTCGTATTCGTGGAGTATCTGGTCCCAGCGACAACGCATGCGCAATGCTGCAGGACGCGAGATAGTGTGTTAGACTAATCTACTTGGAGGAGACGGTTACACTCGCGTATATAATCATGCGGGATGGCGGATTCTACCTGCCTATACTGACAGCAGCCACGTCCAAGTGCTGACAGGAAAAAAATTGGAAAAGTCTTCTAGCGCAGTAGGCCCGAAGGTACACGAATTGCTGAAATAGAGCTCTGTTCTGAAAACTACGACGGGGGTTCTTACTTGCCCTGATGATACTTGGTTCAAAATGTTACCAATTCTCATTTGTGTCTGTTGAATGTTGCCACTGCTCAATCCGGCAACCTCATCGTCCTCGATACCGGCGTAGGCCACCGCAATACCCCTATCCGACGCTGGCGCACATCTCTACGCAGTCTCAGACCCTCTGGTACAAATGCTAGCATCCTCCAATCGTTCGGCTCAAAATCTACGCCAGAGTCCCCAGCTGAACCTATATACGCCTATTCCCTTGCCTACGCGGCCCCCACCAGGTCTGCCCACCTTGCGACAGGGCAGGGTATCATACGGACCGAACTCGATACCGGCGCAATGAAGTAGTGGTACCCAACGATGAAGGAGATATGATAATGACCGTGGCTGTAGCACAACCAGAAGGGAAGATATACTTCAGCACTGGACTGCGAGCCACGGCACAGACAGGGGAAGTATTCGTCGCATCCCACTTGCCGCAAACCCTACTGGCGAAGGAGACGAATACGTTTTAGCCACTGGATTAAACAAACCAGGACAACTACGTCTCGTACGCGATAGTACCACTCAGACCAATTCACTCTGGTGGACGGAAAAAGGCCAAGGATCTTCCTCGTCTACATGTCTCAAATTGGTCGACCTGTACAAATTCGCCGAATTCATCGAAACCACTCTCCCCGCCTATGACCAGTCCTGTAAAAACGATGATTCACTCTGATAATAGTAGCGTTTTCAGTAGATGCGACGGTTGAGAAGCAAATGTTGAGTGTCCAGAGCTTTGTGGTGTACAGGGACGGGTTCACGCAAAGAGTTTGGTTTGTAGTGATGACTGCGGGACGGACAGTTTTTGGCAAATTGATAGAGATGACATGACAGGGCAGTGGGGAAGGCAGAAAGGCGGTGTTGAAAGTTCTCAATCAAGACACGGGAGATCTCGGCGTGCCCGTAGGGTTGGATTATGTTCCGTGAATGACTTCCAACTCTGGGCAGACATGTCATTGTGGAACGCAGCATGGAGGGGAACATAGCATGGAGGGGAACATAGCATGGAGGGGAACATAGCATGGAGGGGAACATAGCATGGAGGGGAACGTAGCATGGCAGATTTTTTTTGGTGTAGAATTATTTTGGTTCGCGCAAGAAACCAGGTAATAGCATATGCGTCTCTGCTCACATGGGAAAACGTGATGGTATCATCTCTAAAATCTTTGAGTTCAAGTAATACATGCCCATGGTAGAACGCCGTTGCATGCAAGTGTGAGTGGAGTCACCCGTACCGAAGCGAAACCATTTTCGCAAGGAAATAATACAAGATAGCAGGCGCATAATCCAGTGGCGCCTGGAGCCATTTAGAGGATCCATGTATGTATGAGGCTGGGGTTGTCCGTATCAGTCGTCCGTTCACTCATGCCCGTTCTCGTTCTCGTTCTCTTCGTTCATTCATATCGAGAGCCACCTTCTTACTGAACTCATAACAACTGATCATAATAGCACACGCAGGTGCAATTTTGAGGCATCGTGCCGACCAACCTTTAAACAAGCCTGGGAGACCTTGCTCGCGGTAAATGTGCATGAGGAATCGAGGCATAGCTTGCTCCTCAGGGCGTGCCATCTGGGCAGCTTTCTTGACGACATCTCCTGTATGGCGGAGAACCTGCTGCCGTGTCTTGCCTACATCGAAGGGCGTGGTTACAAAAGCAGCGACACCTCCTGATGCAGCACCCGCAATGAAGCTGTCAATCAACGTGGCTCTATGATCCTCCTGACTGCGTGACCGGGTTCGTCGGCGGACTCTTTCCTCTGCGCTTCCGATGCGGAACTCGCTTCCATGGTTTTTGGCCTCTCTTCTTCCTCGTTGGTCGATCAGAACGTCGCGTGTGGCTTCGTAGCCCCACCAGTATATGGCCGAGAATGGTACGTCGCGCCACAGTGTCAAAGTCAAGCCCCGCCATAGGCTGAATGCGCCTTGTGAGGCGACCATGTCGCGCAGTCCGTCCATGGTCTCACGGAAGTGTCCCGCGGCGGTGGCAGTGTGGTTGGCAGCCTGCATTCTAGTGCGGAACATCTCTATAGGACTGACGGCGATTGCAGCAAGCACCCGAGCCGTGGCACCCGCGACCAGCGGTACATAGGCGTCTGCTACGTGCTGTCGTAGCGGCGAGGCCGGCGCCGTGCGCAGCCAGTCGTAGCCGGCAAAGTAGATGACATTGGCTGGCACGGCCATGACCAGCGTAGGTGAGAGGCCCCGCCAGAGCGTCCGGGGGCCCTCGTTCTGGGCAATCTTACGCAATCCGTCCCAGGTGCTGTTGATGGTCCGCCGTTGCACCTGCTCGACCGCACACGCGACATCGGCGGGGTTGATGGGCGCCAGTGTAGGCCCGGCAACGCAAAAGGGCGCCTTGTTGTTCATCCAGAAGACCTCACGACAGCAGGCCGAGATGCCCATGTTTGGGGGCATATCGCGGAATTGAACAAGACTTGCACCATGCAAAGCGCGCGAATTGAGTGACGGTTGGCTGGCCGCGACCATTTCTTGTGACTGCAGCCGCACCCGCACCACGTCGAGCGGCGTGACCAGCAAGGAGGTGAGGATGCTGCCGGACACGGCCGACAGCATCTTCTGGCCCAGCGTCACCTCTGCAGTACCCGCCCTGGCCGTGGCCTCGTCGGCCCGCTGCGTGGCCGTGGCCATGTGTGTGTGTGTGGGGGTTGTGAATAGAAGTGTCTGTCTGTATGTATGTGTGTGTGTGTATATAGTCTATGTAGATCAGGTTCTGGAGCCTGACTACCTCAATTCGGACCGGCGGAGATTGTGGTGAATGTCTGTACGGGGCGACGAAACGGGCGGTATGTGGGCATGGTCGTCGCGGTCCCAGAGACAGAAGAGTAGTGTTGGTGGTGGTAGTGGTGATGGTGAAAGGACGACTGTGGTGAGGAAGGCGGCGGGCGAACGAGGCCGTCTCAATGGCAATTTTTGGGCGCGTCATACCAGACCGAGTTAGTCAGCTAACATAATGTACCATTCGTCCCGTCCGTCGTCATCGCCCCGGCCTCGCTATCGCCCTATCGGCCATCGGCCTCGCCCAGTTCATGCAAACCGTAGTAAGGTAAGTACTCTCTCTTTTCTCTCTCCACCTCCACACCTCGCGTCCGCTAACCGATCGCCAACCCAGTCAATCGGCTGTGCAGGGACCAACTTCACATTTGGAGTCACACGCATCTGACGGCGGTGAACATGCATCATTGTTGTCACTATCATTGCCGTCATTCACACTACTACTACTATCTGACAGCCTCGCGACATCGGACCTGCACTAGCTAGCCACCGCCACGCTTAGAAATGGACCCCCAGCAGCATAGCAGCGGCGGCAGCAGAATCAACACCACCACCACCACCACCACCAATAAACACGACGACAACCACGATTCCAACAGCACAGAAGCGGAGCTTGAGTCTTTCCGTCGCCAGTGGAGAGAGGAAGTCACAGCCAGGACCAAGGGCAAAGCCCAGGCAACATCATCCTCAGCCAAAGTCACAGACACTTCAAGCAAACCTAGGAGTCATGTACCGCATACCGCGCCATTTACCCACATCCACACCCGCCAGCGTAGCGTAGAAGAATCAGACGAGGTAACACCTCATATCTACCAAAACCTCGGTGAGAAACAGCATGGTCGGAGGCTGGATGAAACCGGTGCTCAGACGGCTGCTGCATTCGAGGCAAATCAGGAGCCAAATTCCGCGCTAGAGCACTACGAGAAGGCTGTAGAGAAGGAGTCTCAAGGTAGTCTGGGCGATAGCGTGAGCCTGTACAGAAAAGCGTTCCGGGTAAGTGTGAGCCGCAAATTACCAGAATGACCCATGTTGACATGAGAAGCTCGACTCGAGAGTGCACGAGACGTACAAGGCAAAGCATTTCCCTCCTTCTTATTTTATTGGCAAGGGTAAACCATCAGCGACCACAGCGGTACTGCCTACTCCGAATCCAGCGCCACAAGTTGCCAAGACTGTAGCCGAAGACCGCAATCCTTCCCATGCTTCTACCAGCCTCTCAAGTACTGCACACCACTCCCTACATGGTCTCTCCCCTGCCATGCAAACCCTTGTTCATGAAGCGTCTGCTCTACGCATACTGGGTGAAGCCCCACCAACAGATCTCTCGCCAGCCCCGCCATGTCCTATATCCCACTTGCCTGAGGAGATTCTGGTTGAGATTCTGATTCATCTCGCGGTCAAGGACTTCGCTTCATTTGTTCACCTGGCTCAAGTATGCAAGCGACTGGCTTATCTCACCACCACCGAAGATCGCATTTGGAAAAGAATCACCCTAGGGCACGAATATGGTTTCGCCGCCATGCATTACACATGGTCGTGCGAATTCGATGGCACCCCACTCGGCGACCTGGTCCTTGGGTTGGACAGTATTGACATCTCGGACAGCGAAGACCTGTCTCCTTCCCCTGCTTCCCCTTCGCCTCTTTCTCTAACCCGGCTCCTGGTTCCCTCCACCTACCCAAACTACCGCACCCTTTTTCAACGCCGCCCTCGCATCCGCTTCAATGGCTGCTACATTAGCACGGTAAATTACATGCGGCCTGGCCAGGCCTCTCCCACATCATTAACTTGGAATTCTCCAATTCACATCGTGACATACTACCGATATCTTCGCTTTCTGCGCGATGGAACCTGCATCTCACTCCTCACCACCTCGGAGCCTGCAGACGTGGTACCCTATCTTTACACTGAAAACATGCACAAAAACCACGGTTCCCTACCAACAGCGCCAATAAAAGATGCTGTATTAGGACGATGGCGACTTTCTGGCCCCTGTATCCCACACGCAGGCTTAGAGCAAGAGGCAGAAGGTACTTTGATGATAGAAACCGCAGGCGCAACACCAAAATACATGTACAAAATGGCACTAACCATCGGACACGCGGGGCGCGCAAGTAAGAATAACAAACTTAGTTGGCAAGGGTATTGGAGTTACAATCGGTTGTCAGATGACTGGGGCGAGTTTGGGTTGAAGAATGATAAGCCGTTTTATTGGAGTAGGGTGAAGAGCTATGGGATGGCGTGGGGTGAGGCCGGAATGAAGAAGATGTGAATGAGTGTGATAGACATATCGAAATTTGTATGGCGTGGGCATATCATAAAAGTGGGAGATTTTGACCTATATCTTGAACGAATGAGCGTGTTCACAGCAGCAACCGTTGGCATCTCGGTCACGACACCACTCTATTTTGATCGAAAGATCAGTAAAACGTACCTCCTCATAGTTAGGGCCAACTATAGCAAACTAGGTCACCATATTCTTAGTAGCCATTCTTCGACGATAAGACCAATTGTTGCTTCAAGACATGTAGGATTCAATATCCCGCGTGATTGCATAAGAGACGACCGTTCGGCAAAACGTAATATGTTAGGCCATGATCATGTTTCTACATCATTGTAGCATATGTGGGGCTCCTTCACAATACGCTGTGGGAGATCTACGTTGGCTTAGATCCTTCTCTCCCGTATGCCTCAGACCTCTACCGCCGCGGCATGCCTCGTCCACGTCCTCTTCCTCCGAGCGCCCTTTGTGCAGCGCCCGGTGGCAATGGCCGATTGGGTGCTTGTGGTTGCTGTGACTCCTGATTCTCTGTGGATTTGTCAGTAACGATGTCTTTTCAGCAGAATACAAAGTACATACTTATCGTTTCATCAACACTCAAAATCAGGCACGCCGCTTCGGTGGCTGCCTGCAGAGCGTTGACCTTGACCAGACTGGGCTCCCACACGAACTTTTCCATGTTGTTAGCGATGCTTTCCGTTGTGAAGTCGACACCAGCCCAAATATTTCCCTTTTTGTGCTCTACACGGAGGCGGTTGAGAATATCCGTCGCATCAACACCAGCGTTGTCGCACAATTGCCTAGGAATCACTTCGAGAGCTTTTGCAAATGCCTTGATAATAGGCTGCTGCTTGTGCGGGATGTTCTTGTCGGCGTAATTGTGTAAATGCGATGAGATTTCCATCTCCACAGCGCCACCGCCAGCGACAATGTTCCTGTTCTTGATGGCGCGCTTGACAATCATAATGGCGTCGTGTAAGCTTCGCTCGACCTCGGCGATGAACTGCTCTGCTCCACCGCGGAGGACCAACGTGCAAGTCTTGGCCTCAGGACATCCTTCGAAGAAATTGTAGCGCTCGCCACCGATTTGTCGCTCGTTGAAGGTTTCGCATGTACCAAGATGTTTGCTCTGGATGTCAGAGCAGGTCGATTGAAGGCTTGCGCCTGTTGCTCTGCAAACGCGATCGAGGTCGTCTGCTGCTACGCGTCCAGCGCAGAAGATGTCACGATCGGCGAAGTATTGTGTTGCAAGATCACCGATTGGAAGCTTGCTGAGGACCACCTTCGCACCTGTCTTGTACAGCGCCTCCATCTTGTTATAAATAATCTGCCACTCTGCGTCGACGATAGCCTGGTACTCTGAAACCTGCTCTACTCGTACTTCGGCATTATCCTTTTCACTCTTGAGTTCTAACTCGACGTTGAGGCACACAATTTTGGGCTTCTTGAAGGACTTGGGTTGCTGCTCAAAGCCAGCGTATGAGAATGTTTTCTTGAAAGCAACACCGTTGACAAACAACGAATCTTGGAGTGCACCACCAGTGATCTTCTTGACACCAATCAGCCTCTCATTGAGCTCTTCCTGGTCGAGCGAGAGCACGGCGTCGACAACCATCTTTGTGAAGAAATCAGCATTGCGATGGATTAGCTTGCTGCTCATGGCTGTCGCCGCAAGCTTTTGTAGAGTGTCGCGCTGGTTTCCCTCGGCTGTGTTGACAGCAATTTCCATGATTTTGTTGACTGCAAGATGTGAGGCTCTGCGCAGGCCCTTTATGATAGTCTGGCTGCTGACGCCCTGCTCCACAAAGTCCTTGATCTCTTTGAGGATTTCGCCTGCGAGTACGACGACCGAAGTGGTACCGTCACCAACTTCAGCATCCTGTGACCGGGCGATGTCCGTAAGTATTCGGGCGGCGGGATGCACAATATCCAGGAGCTGTGTTCATTTATTAGATAAAGGTTCTTGTGTGTAATGATTATGATGGGGGCAGTAGATAGCTACCTTCATGACGGTGGCACCATCGTTCGTGATGGTTTGCCGGCCATTCTCATCAACCATGAGCAGGTCGCCGCCGTAGGGACCCAGGGTGCCCTTGATGGTCGACTGCACTGCAAGACAGGCGTTGATGTTAGAAATGACCTGGCCTCTTCCTTGGGATTGATCTGTGCCTGCAACTTATCAGCTGGTGTTCTGGTGCGACTAAAGATATAGGGAGCCAGCTAGGTGCCTCCAGACGTCACCTACCCTCTCGCAACACCACAATAGTCGGTGTTTGGCCGCCAAACGACATGCTGGCGGTGTTATTGAGCAAATTCACCTCGTGTAGCCTAGGTCAACAAACGGCGAGGAAATTGGCAGATAACCAAGACAAGTCCTAAGAGAAGGGATGGAGGGGCGGTTAGGTCAGGCTTGAGGTTGCGCAGCTGGCTGTGGTTCCCCCGCAGACGCGTCTAGGAATTTTCCCAGGCACGACCCGCGCCAAGACTTAACCACCGGATGTAGGTTTCTCCATCTCCAGCCGAAGGGCACGAACATCTCGCAAACGCAAGCTTCCAGTAACCTTCTCCCGCCCTTCCATGCATCTTTGGTGCGACCTGGAAATAACGCCGTTGCCCGACTCTGATCCGGCCCCCTGACCTCGGAAGCTTACTATTCATACTCGCACACGATTGAAGACACTCGTCCTTGTATGCTTCTTTTGAAGTGCAGGTCGTGCCATGTTGTGACATCTTTACGCGTTCGTTTCGACTCTTTCAAGACACACTCGACAGCTTCTTTCTGCTGCGCAACATTGTCTTCAAGACATCATTGGCTGGTCTGTTCTGTCTCAGAGGACATGGTCAACTAGCCATGCCAGCCAAGACACTTGCCGAGAAGGTCAGTCGCTGGTAGCGAGTTTCTGCAAGTATCTTGTTCTGAAAAGTGGTGAAGATGACATTCACGCCAAGCACGAATGATGACATTCGTTTACGAAGGCTGCACCGCCCATCAAAAGATTCAGTCGAGAAACAGATCTCGATACCAGAGACAATTACAGCACTGGATCACTACCCACCAATGCTCCGCATCCCGTCCGAGATACGAAGGGAGATTTTCCGATACATTTTGCCTTCATCAGACAGGCGATTTCTCCTCTATACGGACTGTGACTCGACTGCCGTGAGTAGAAAATGGAATCGAAGGTGCCGACCGCATCCAGATAGTGATTTAAGACTCGACGTTCTCCGCACGAACCGTTTGATATACCATGAATGTTTGTCTGTCCTGTACTCGGAGAACTTGTTTCATTTCCACGCATTTGGCTATCTCCCTGTCTTAGACTTTATACGGCACCTAAGCCCTGAGGCCAAGGATCTTGTGCGTAAGGTTAGGCTAACGCCTCTAACGGACAAGCAAGACAACCTGTCTTCCACGCATGATGTGTTTTGTATCGTTATACATGATTCTTTGCCAGGTCTAAGCGAATTGCAGGCTGATCCTGTAGTCTTCTTTTGAGAAGTATCGTTAATTAGGTAGTATGCTCTTTGCTTTTAGTACGTTATCGTGAGAAAATACTAACGTATATTAGTATAATACTTTCGTTGTATACCAGAGTATAAGAAAATTATGCTACCTTTTATATAACTATATAGTTATAATAAAGTGTTAGGACACAGTGTCTATTCCCACTGCGCTAAACAACTAAAAAGGTGCGTATAATCCATGAATGGATTATTCACGAATAGAATAGTAGATGTAGGCGCCTAACCTAGAGTTAGTCTATGCGCGCGCACGCCATGGCCTGACATAAAGGTTTAAATAGTAGAGTAGATAATAGGATATAACGTACTCTACAAGTAAGTTAGCTATATAAGTAAGTTAGCTGCTTTTGCTAAGCCCCTACTAACACGTACTCTTTAAATAGTATAGACGTAATTGTTAAAATATAGGGCGCCGCTAGCCTAAGCGTGTAACAATAAGGCAGAATTGCTTGCCTATTGTTCTATGCCAAGTTAGGCCTAATAAAGGCCTAACTTACTAATATATATAGAGAGCAGCTTGCCTATAATTAGGATAGGTATATTCTTCTTATCCTTTTATACAAGACCTATAGGTGTAGGAATCTTATCCTTTTCTATATAAACGCGCACTCCTATATACCTTTAAGTTATATAAGATACCTTTTAGATACCCTACCTACTAGTAATAGTATTTAAGAATATTGTATTTATTATTATTTTAAGCTACTAATTTAGTTCTAGTAGTTATCTAACCCTATAACTCTACAGTTAGAATAGCTATTAGAACTTCTAATAACTAAAGCCTATAGGCTTAGACTTCTAGACCTATAGGTAGTGCTAGATTACCTTTAGAAAAATCGCGTTAGATTGCGTTAAGGTAGACACCTAGAGACTACTAAAAGCCTAGAGGAATTAGAGGCAAAGCTAATATTATTCTATAACTAACCCCCCCTAAAGAAAAGATTTATTATTCTTATTAACTATAAAATATTAGATAAAGGTAAAGGAAGGGTATCTAGTTTAGCTACTTTTAAAAGCCTATTTACTAATAGAAAGAAATTAGATAAGGAAGACTTAATTAACAACGCCCTCCTTAAAGGACCTACTTCCTATCTATCTCTTAAGGTACCTTGTGCTCCTAGGAAATCTTAAAGCAACACCTCCCTTAAAGATAAATATATATTAACCCTATCTAAAAAGGAGAGGTTAGAGGAATAAGTTAAATAACTTACTAATTAGTTATATAACACCTCCCTCTATAAGGAGATATAGGGTACTACCTAACCTAGCTAGTCTTTAGCTTCTATATTAAACCCTATAGTGTATACTATAAAAGCTAAGAGATAATCTAAAAAGACGCTAAATATCTCTATACTTAGTAATAGTGCTAACCCTACTTTTAGATAATAGCAAGCATCTATTTAGAATAGGTTAGAGATTAACGCTAATTACTACCCCTCTCCTAGAGCTTAGATAGCGTTAGTCTAGGGACACTACTTAGGACTAGCAAGAGAATACTTAGAGCTACGTTACCTATCTAATTCCTTAAGTCTTTAATTCTAAAAAGCTAAGGAAATAATTACCCTCCTTTAAACTTACTTTATTACTAGAAATAAGATAGCTAAGAATTAGACTATATTTAACTGCCTATATATAACTAATATAGAGATATTCCCTACTTTTAAGTTATAATTCTAGAGTCTTGCTATTAGAGGAGAAGTACCCTAATTAGAGTAGTATTACTACCTCTAGATAAAGATTACACCTTCCCTAAGGATACTAAACCTTACTTTCTAATAGAATTAGCATAATAATTTTAAGACTATAGTAGATTATCTTACTACTTTTAATATAGAACGCCACCTATACCCTACCTTATCTGCTCCTACCTAGACTACTCTATTATCTAGAAAAGGACTAACCCCCTTCTAACACTCTAGAAACTAGTCCTATTTAGACACTAATTAGAAACCCTATAATAGACCTTTAATAGCTAAACCTTATATGCCCTACTTATAATAATAAGGCACTATCCTTTAAAAATAATTAACCCCTATCTGCTACGCTAGCTACTCCTAGCGCTACTATAATAGGAACCCTAGTAACTTGCTATAATTATAGAAAGCCTAGGCACTTCTCTAGTAACTGCCCTAAACCCCCTAGGATTTAGGCTATAGATATAGAATAGGTTATTAAGAATTCTAAGGAAGAAGAAACTGCTAAATTAACTAATTTAGATAGCTATTAGACAGGAAACAACAATACCTAGGAGGATCCTCCTTCCTAGGCCTAACTTAATATAACCTGTTAAACCTTTCCTTAACTAAATTGTTTATTAGTTCCTATTTGCTTGCACGTACAACTCTGTGCCTTAATAGATCTAGTGTTTGCCTAAACGCTTTAGTAGATACTAGGGCCTAAGGTTATTTATTTCTTAATTTAAAAATTGCTTACAATATCTCTTCTACACTTAGGGTACCTATCTAAAAGCTACTATATAAGCTTACTGTTAAAGGGTTCTAGGATTAGATTACCTCCCTAGTTGCCTACTATATTTAGCTTTATATAATAGTTAGTAGCTAAAAGGTTTATAACTGCCCCTTTATAATAGTAGACTTAGGTTCTTAGGATTATATTATTAGACAACACTAGCTAAAACAGTTCTAAATCCTAATTAATATAGATAAATCTTAACTAATCTAGCTAGAGAAATATCCTTTAACCTACGACCCCGCACCTCTAATTCTAGTACAACTCCACTAGCAAGTGCTGTCTACTCTAGTTACCCACAATATCTTGCAAAGAGACGCTCTTTAGGATTAAGAGGAGAACTAGAACTAAAATAGTCCTAGTTTAATTAATAGGATACGTGGTATACTTAAAATTCTAGCCGCTTATAGGGCTGCTACTAAACCTATTACTCTACCTACCCTAGTCTAATTACTAACTATTACCCTACCTATAAAATTCTAAATTGCTACTATTTCTGCTAATGCTTTCTATTTTAATATAAAAAAATCTTCTAATAAATTCTTCACTACTAGCCTGTATAAGATTAAGCGTAGGATCCAAACCCTATCTAAAGAGGATACTCTTAACCACGGCTTGTTAGATTAGAAGCTCCTATCTAACTATAACTTAACCGCCTATTAGGACGTCTTTAACAAGGCTAAGGCTAACAAACTTCTAATCTACTAGCCTTATAACTATAAGATAGTCCTAGAGGAACCTCTTCTAAACTACTAGAGTCCCCTCTATTGTTAAAATACTAAGGAACTCTAGGCTACTAAGGAATATGTACAAGAGCACCTATAGAAAGGTTTTATTAAGACTAGTTAGAGCTTATTTGCCTCTCTTATCCTATGCGTTAAGAAGCTAAATAGAGGCCTTAGGATCTGTGTAGATTACTATAAGCTTAACAGCTTAACGTAAAAGGACGCGTATCTAATACCCTATATAGATAATCTATTATCCTAGCTAGCTAAAGCAAAAATCTTTACTAAGCTAGATATTTGTGCTGCCTTTAATAAGATCTAAATAGACCCTAACTTAGAGGAGTACACTACTTTCCGCACTAGGTATAGTACCTATAAATATAAAGTCCTACTATTTAGGCTATATAATAGACCTATAACCTATTAGCGCTATATAAATAATATACTAATAGATTATTTAGATAACTTCTATATTGCCTATCTAGATAATATCCTTATCTACTCTAAAAACCTTAGTACTTACAAGGACTATATTTAAAAAGTCCTTAAGCGTCTTTGTTCTGCTAGATTACAGGCTAGTATAAAGAAAAGCGAATTTTATATAACCTATACCTATTACCTTAGATATATCCTAACTAACAAAGGCTTAGAGGTAGACCCTAATAAAGTTAAAGTACTCTAAAACTAGTCCGCTCCTAAGACGATAACTAGAGTAAAGTCCTTCCTAGGATTTACTAGATTCTACTAGCAATTTGTAGAAAACTTCTCTAAGATAGCCAAGCCCTTAACTGCTCTCTAGAGCCCTGCTACCCTATTTATATAGACTTTAGAATGCTAACAAGCCTTTAACTAGCTTAGGAATGCCCTACTAGCAATCCTAAGCTTAGCTTACTTTTATCCTAAGTACCCTCTAAAACTAGAGATAGACGCCTCTAATAGAGTTATTATAGCTATCCTCTTATAGGAGCATCCTAATAGGAAATAGTACCCTATATCCTTCTTTAGTTAGACCCTTACTAGTTCTAAACTTAATTAGGAAATCTATAATAAAGAATTATTTATAATAATCTGCGCCTTTAAGAAATAGCGTGCTAACCTAATAAGTACTTAGCACCTTATTAGAGTATACACAGACTATAGAGCACTAGAGTACTTTATATCTACTAAAGTCCTTAGTGCTAGGCAAGCTAGATAGCTAGAGGTTATAAGTCCCTTTAACTTCTAAATTAAGTATACTCCTAGATCTTATAACGCCTAAGCTAATATCCTAAGTAGAAGGGAATAGGATATAACAGCCTTAACCTTAAGACTACTTAAAGGGATAATTATTCACAAGTAATAATCGCCCTAGATAGGTTACACCCCTAAATTAACTCTAACTTAGCGCAAGACTACCTAGCTAAGCGTTCCTTACTAATCCTTACTTTAATTATAGTAGTTTAGAACCCTATAACTCTTAGATCCCTAGAACTTATTAAAACTCTTCTCTAAGAAAATAGGTCCTTATTCCTAATAGAAAGATTAGAGTTGCCTAAGCACTATTAGATAGAAAATAGACTCCTTCTCTACTAGGATTAACTTTGCGTGCCTGCTAGATTAGTCCTATATACTAGACTAATTTATAAGGCTTATAATTAAGTATCTACTACCTACCTATTAGCTACTAAAACCTATTAGATTCTAGCCTAATATTACTATTAGAAAGGTATAGAGACTACCTATAAACGCTACGTTTAGAACTATATCCTATGCAGGAGAGGGTACCTAAGATAGCACTAAC